GGCAGGTGGGGGGGGGGGGGGGGCGCACAACAGTGGCCTTGCCAACGTGTTAATCCGACCGAAAGCAGAGTTCAAAAGTCGGGGGGCTCAGACAGATCCTGGGGCCTTGCCGGGTCAGACTCCTCCACTGTTCAAGTCCTGGACCTGGTAGCTTACTTTCTCGCTTTCCCTTCCTCTCCCTCTGTTTGGTTAAATTAAAAAATAATAATCAGTAGAGATAAATAAAAAATAATTTTTAAATGTGCATTTTTAGAGATGATTAAGTTTGTTTTCAGTATTTCTACTGAGCGATTACTCTACCTATCTTTGGTTATACTTGCTATAAATCATTACTTTGAAATCCTGAAGTTTTTCTTGTTCCTACACAGTAAATATCCCTTGTTGACTTGACTTTGAGTCAAACTAAAAAGTGTCTCAAGAAATTAAAAAAAATTTAAACTGTTACTTTAAATTTTAATGACTTTATTCTAAAATAAAACTTATTTTATACACACACACACATACTATAATTTTGTAGAGAGATTTTTTGCTATGGGGCACATGCACTCACCGGAGACACAGAAAGCAAGAAACCACTCCCCTGGAGGATGGCCATGCTGCTATCCCTTCTCTTCTATTCTCCTCTCAGGATTTTGGGCAGCATGAGTTATTTGTTTTTTCTTTTTTGAACTTTTTTTTTTTTTTAAAAAGAATTATCTTATTTAACTCTATTATTTATTTTAATTTGACCAGAGAGGGACAGAGTGAAAAAGAGAAATTGAGGAAATAAGCCGCCAGGTAAGTATGGATTAGAAACTTTAAAAAGGAGAAGACTTGTTTTTTTTTTTTTTTTTTTTTGAGAGGTTTTTTGCTGTAAGGTGCATGCGCATTCCAGAAAGACAGAGACAGAGAGACAAAAAGCGAGAAGTCACCTCCCGGGGGGATGGCCACGCTGTAGTCCCTTCTCCATTCTCCTCTCGGGATCTTTGTCACGCACGCACCCGCTCCTGGTGTGAGTTTAAGCCACCGGATCCAGTACTCAAACCATGGTTGACTACATGGGAGTCCAGCAACATAGCCATTACACTAACTGCTGGTCCCGAGAAGACTTTTTTATATATATAAAAAAGAATTACTAATTTCGGGACTAGAGTTGGCCATGTGAGTCCAGCAACACTTTCTGTCTCTCTCTCTGTGTCTTTCTGGAGAGCGCACATGCCCTATAGCAAAAATCCCGAGTATGTTGTGGCTGGCAGGTGGCATGGTGGTTAAGGCACCATACTTCCACATGACTGGCCACAGTTAAGTCCCAGACCTGGCATCTTGTTTTCTTACATTCTCTCTCTGTCTCTTTTTGGTCAAACTATAATAATAATAATAATAATAATAATAATAAAAATAAACCAGCAGGTGGCATAGTGGTTAGGGCTTTGGAGTTCCATGTTTCTGACTGTGTTTTGAGTCTCAGACCTGGTGACTTAAAACACACACTGGACATGTGTGTGTGTTCATGCCCCAAATCCCAAGAGCAGAATGGAGAAGGGATTGAGTGTGGCCATACCCTCTGAAGGGGTGGTTTCTCACTGTCTCTCTGTCTCTGGTGCGCACATATGCCCTACGTCAAAGATCTCTCAAAAATAAAGAGAAAATAAATAATAAAAGAATACATTACGTTTAAAAGAAACATTTCAAACACATATGGGATGAGCTTTTTAAACGGCAAACATTGTTAGTTACAGTCTATAAGACTAGAAACTTTAAAAACCACTGGAGCTCTTACAGAGAAGTTGTGCTGTCCTGGAGGCTGTAATGCTAGAAGACAAATCCTCTACCACAACCCTGCTTCAGCCTGGGCAGCTCTACTTCCCCATCTACGCTGCGAAGAAACTTGCTGGACCAGCAGTGTGACTGCAGACGTGGAGGCGGGGTTCACCTCTGCGCTGCCCAGCGTGCCTTTGCTGTTCGGGCGGACAAGTCTGCAGAAGGCACTGACTCGTGGCTTTGCCTGTGTTCCTCTGGTGTCACCCCCATTTCTCATTGGAAGGGATGCTCTTTTCCTTACCGAGCGCCAATAGCCAAGGTGTGAAGTGCCCGTCTGACAGCCCCAGCCCGTTCTCGTTTGCACAGATGGGCAAGCTGTGGCAGGCAGGCTGTGGAATCTCCACGCGACCTTAGGCCAAGGCACGCCCCAGTGTCAGTTGGTCACAGCCACTTGCTCACAGAGCCAGTCTCAGCCCTGAGAATCTGACAAAGTGACAGATGTCACCAACACTCTGTGAGGAATGGTGGGTGCATGGAGCACACACGCTGCCTATGCACAGTGACATCGCCTCGAGTGCTAGTGCTTGGGTCACGCTGCCTTTGTGGGAAGCTGACCAGCAAGCTAATTGGTGTTGCATAGACGTGGCTGCCTAGTTGACAGCTCCTGAAAGTGGTTGAACTGAGCCCGTTACTCAAGGGAAGCAGCTGCCAGTGTTCACACCAGTGATAAAATTGAAATCGTCGAGTGAAATTAGGACTTTGGAAAACTTTACCTGTCACTAGGAGCTTGACATCTTCCCAGTATTCAAAAACTTCTGAGGCCATGTGTAGTGATGTTAATGAATCGATTCGTTGATGCTATGGGAAAGGGTTTGTCAACATTCGGGAGGTCTCCATAACTCAGCAAACCAACATTTTCCAGATGACCTCGGTACGGCACTGAAAAATCACTGAGTGGAAGGAGATCCCTTCAGAGGTAGCTTAATGTATTTTAATGTCACACAGAATGAAAAGCTCATCATGAAGGATTTGGGCTCCAAATTGCAACTAACATTTGAGAAGCTGCTGCCATTGAGTTTTGCTATATTATTGAAGGAGAATCCCACACATATCTGAAAAGGCTATGCAGATACCTCTCCCTGGGGCAGGTGGTGGTGCAGAGGTAACAAGACTGCATCTACGTGAGAAAGGTCTTGGTTCATATTCCAGGGCCTCTGAGCACACCATGTGTGCACACACCCTTGATCTGGGCTGGGGAGTGCGTTGCGGCATGAAGACCCGGTGGGGGGAGACTGACATTGAATTAAGAAATAAATTAAAAACAAAGCAGAAAAAAAAAAAAAAAAAAAAAACCTCTCCTTTCCAACTATTTGCCCAAGTGTTTTTTTTTTCTTCCCATTTATGTACTTCAGCTGAAACGAAAGGTCAGAGCAGGATGAGGGCACAGGCTGCTGGAAGGACTGGGCTCTGCCCTGAGACAGAGCGTGTGCAGTCCGACAGGCCCTCCCACCTGCACAGCAGTGCTGCTCTTCTCCTTAATGTGTTTGTTTTGGAAAGGAGGGGGGTTTGTTATTAATACAAATGTTAGTCATAGTCATATGTAATGGATGTGTTGGTTTTGAATGAGTTATTTGGAAGTGTGTGAGTTTTAATTTCCAATAATAGTATATATTGGATACAGTTGAGAGGACCCCAGCTCCTTGGAGTCTCCTATAAAGTTCGGTTGGAAGGGGGCTGAGGCTGAGGGCTGGCAAGTGAGTGATGTTAGAGAATGAGCCAGTAGCCCCCGGCCACTGGGCCCTCCCTGACCCAAGGTGAACCCCATCTGGGAGCTTCTTGGGTGTTGGGAGTACCCCTTGGATCCTCTCTCTGGCCCTTTTGGGGATTAGGGACTGTGCACTTCTCTGGGGGCCTTGGGCTTAGACCCTCGAAGATAGTCTTTTTGGGGTCTAGTTGGGGTAGGATTGGGGAGGGGACAAAAGCTTTGGCTTTGGAATGTGGGCAGAGATCTCACAGGGGCCTCAGCCTCACACGGTGGGGAGATGGCAGTGGTGCCATAGGTGCTGGTGGCTTGGGCTGTGCATCTTCAGGTGGCTCCCGCAGCCTGCTAAAGTCGGGGTACCGGAGTAGCAGTGGGGCTCCTTCCAGAGAATGGGGTGTGAGTTTCTGAAGTCAGAAGTAACGTGGCTCTTTCAGGTACTTGTTCGAGTCTCTCAAAGCAGACGAGTAGCTAGTAGTTGTAGTAAGCCGCTGGTCAGCTGTTTGTACTAAGGGCAGCCACACTGACCAGGCCAGGTGCCTGCTTCCTGGCCCCCGGGAGCTGGGGAGTGCCTGGCTGTGCTCGGATGTTTACCTGGGCATCTCAGGCCCTTATCAGGTACAGAACGTGGTGTTTCTTCAGTGACACCCAGGCAGAGATTCCAGGAAAATCAGAAATGTGGCAGGAATGGTTGACTTCAGTCTCCTACACGCCTCGCGATCGTGTGGTGTGCACACCAAGGAGGCGGCTGAACGCCACGTCTGCCCTTGCGGCTTTCACATCCAAATTGCTACCGTATTTGAGTAAAAGTGTTTCGTTACTCTGGCAGAGACTCCAGGGAAGGCATTCCCTGGTCAGGAACTCCTCGCCCAGCTGACACTTTCAGAGACAAGATTCTCAGTTATGCAGGGCATCCCGCGCACCGAATTGGGCTCCAGCCTGGGAGGCAGTGAGGGGCAGCTCGCAGGCTGGAGCTGAATCCTGGGGCAGCACAGCTTCCTGACAGCTTTGTTCAGATGGAGTGACGTGGTGGCAGCGCTCGGCTCTGTGGCACCTTCTCCCTGGCAGCGTTCCTGGTGTCTGTTACTGGTCCGAATAAGGGGCAAGTCCTGTCCAGCAGTGGATGCTGTGGGTTCAGTCGCATGTGAAGTTTTTTCCTTCCTGTTAGGAGAGCCTGTGTCAGGCAGGCTCCAGGGGGTTTGTCAAAGCAGGGGTTTGGAGTCGCTCTGTCCCCGACCTTCACATGTGTCTCATTCTTGTTCTCTTCTTTTGTAGGCACCAGTTTGTAGAGAATAATTTAATACTGAAGATGGGTCCGGTGGATAAGCGAAAGGTAAGCTGGGTCCCGCTGCCTGTCATGTGGATCTGTCTCCCTCCTGGTTCTGATGCGGGGTCAGGCCTCCTCCAGACCCGCACTGGCCGCGACGTGTCGGACTTAGCAGCCGTGCCTTAGCTCACTTCTGGAGCTCACCTCCAGCTCTAGGAGCTAAGGAAGAGGTCAGCTGTGGGGGAAATAGTTCAGAGCCACATCGTGGGTGGTGAGTGGTCGGCAGAGTATAGCCTGGGTCCCTGCCTTGGGATCCTGGGCTTACCAGCTTCCAGGTTTCTGTCTGGTGAGGAGACCATGTCTGAAGTCCAAGAAGTAGACTATTTCTTTCTTTCTTTTTTTTTTTTATAAAGAATTATTTTATTTAACTTCATTTACTTATTTTTTTAAATTTTGACTGGAAGAGAAAAAGAGAGGGAAAGTGAGAAAGCAGGCCGCCAGGTCTGTGACTTGAACCACAGTCAGCCATGTGGGAGTCCAGCGCCCTTACCTACCACATCACTTGCCGGCCTCGGACGTAGACTGTTTCGCCACAGTGTTTAGCTGTCATTATGTTGTACGGATTAAATAGATGAGTCATGTCAGAAGTACCAGGCCCCACGTGCAGGCACAGGCCCCTCCGAGCACATGCTCTTACCTTGGTCACTGGCCTTGGGACCCCCATGCCCGAGACTCTCGCTCTAGGCTCTGTGCCTTACAGAGGAATGGGGGCCTGACTGCCATGGGGTTTGTCTGGATAAGCTCAGCGGCGGGAACCTGGGTGCTGGCCCAGATAGGGGGTGTCCTAGGTGGGTGGACAGTGGCTGGTGTGGTCTCTGGGCTCAGCTACGAGGGGACAGACCTGCCTCCGTCTGAGGCAGTGGGGCGACTACCGGCTCCCCGCGCCGGGGCACCCAGGGCGTCCAGGGGGTTTGTCAAAGCAGGGGTTTGGAGTCGCTCTGTCCCCGACCTTCACATGTGTCTCATTCTTGTTCTCTTCTTTTGTAGGCACCAGTTTGTAGAGAATAATTTAATACTGAAGATGGGTCCGGTGGATAAGCGAAAGGTAAGCTGGGTCCCGCTGCCTGTCATGTGGATCTGTCTCCCTCCTGGTTCTGATGCGGGGTCAGGCCTCCTCCAGACCCGCACTGGCCGCGACGTGTCGGACTTAGCAGCCGTGCCTTAGCTCACTTCTGGAGCTCACCTCCAGCTCTAGGAGCTAAGGAAGAGGTCAGCTGTGGGGGAAATAGTTCAGAGCCACATCGTGGGTGGTGAGTGGTCGGCAGAGTATAGCCTGGGTCCCTGCCTTGGGATCCTGGGCTTACCAGCTTCCAGGTTTCTGTCTGGTGAGGAGACCATGTCTGAAGTCCAAGAAGTAGACTATTTCTTTCTTTCTTTTTTTTTTTTATAAAGAATTATTTTATTTAACTTCATTTACTTATTTTTTTAAATTTTGACTGGAAGAGAAAAAGAGAGGGAAAGTGAGAAAGCAGGCCGCCAGGTCTGTGACTTGAACCACAGTCAGCCATGTGGGAGTCCAGCGCCCTTACCTACCACATCACTTGCCGGCCTCGGACGTAGACTGTTTCGCCACAGTGTTTAGCTGTCATTATGTTGTACGGATTAAATAGATGAGTCATGTCAGAAGTACCAGGCCCCACGTGCAGGCACAGGCCCCTCCGAGCACATGCTCTTACCTTGGTCACTGGCCTTGGGACCCCCATGCCCGAGACTCTCGCTCTAGGCTCTGTGCCTTACAGAGGAATGGGGGCCTGACTGCCATGGGGTTTGTCTGGATAAGCTCAGCGGCGGGAACCTGGGTGCTGGCCCAGATAGGGGGTGTCCTAGGTGGGTGGACAGTGGCTGGTGTGGTCTCTGGGCTCAGCTACGAGGGGACAGACCTGCCTCCGTCTGAGGCAGTGGGACGACTACCGGCTCGCTGAGCCGGATCAGCAGGTCTGTCTCTGTGCCAGGGTCTGTTTGCTCGCCGACGGCAGCTGTTGCTCACAGAAGGGCCACATTTATATTACGTGGACCCGGTCAACAAAGTCCTGAAAGGTGAAATTCCTTGGTCACAAGAACTCCGACCAGAGGCCAAGAATTTTAAAACATTCTTTGTCCACACGGTGAGTCTGGCCCCAGGGCCCCTCGCACTGATTGGTTGGGAGGCTTTCACGCCGCTGCTGGACGTCTGCTATTTGACCAGGGGCAGCTAGGGCTGGGCAGCCGCGTCCCCATTTCCTACGTCCCAGAGGCTGTACTGTAGCGGCTCAATCCTGAGTTTGGGTGGGAGGCCCCCATTTTTCCCCAAATTGGGGGTGACCTGAGGAAGGTGGGCCATTCACCACATACTTCATCATTGCATGGGTGTGGAGTACCGAAGCCACCATGCTCACACTTCCAGAGGACGTACACTGTGGGCAACCCTCCTTGGGTGGCAGGGATTGGTGGAACCCCCCCCGCCCCCCGGAGGCCATTAAATGGCTCTGCCTTTGCAGCCTAACAGGACATATTACCTAATGGATCCAAGCGGGAACGCTCACAAGTGGTGCCGAAAGATCCAGGAGGTTTGGAGGCAGCGATACCAGAGCCACCCGGACACTGCTGTGCAGTGACGCGGCCTTGGCTGGCTGCCCTTTGCTGCCAGGACACCTGCCCCCATGCGGCTCGGCCGCCACCGGGGCGCTTCCAGACCACCTGCCAGCCATCTCAAGGGACACAGACGGCAGAAACCTTGCAGCTTTTTTATTTAAACAAAAAGAAGAAAAAAGTACCCAGCCACACAGAGAACAAATCCAATAACAGAAAGGAGTTCAGGGTTGCTTTGCCTGCTCTCTGTGCTCTGCAGGGCGCCGCACACTCTGGTCACATGGGACCCAGCCCCGCCCACCGGCCCAGGTCTCACACAGCCCAGAGGACAGACCTGGCACCTGGCACCACCAAGCTTCTCACATCAGTCAGAAGCACATGGCGCCCTCTCCTCTCCACCTACCCCGTGCGCTGGCCTCACTGTGGCCAAGGGGACCGATGTGTCTGGCTCTTCCTCCTCCTCACCGTCACAGAATTCATCACCAGGGCGATTGCGTGGGGGCAGGGCTCTCTGCATTTGTGCCTGAGACCCCTTTCTCCTGTCCCTCCTGATGTCCCTGGAGGTGTGGCCAGGCCCCTTGTGTGTGGCTTTGGGCCAATATCTCTGTGGTCCTCGCTGTCTGGCAGGCAGACTCCACATGGTGGCGTGTGGACAGAGAGTGGTGGTGGCACATGGTTCAGGCCCTCAAAGGGCTTGCCCCCGCCACTCCCCACTGAGCAGTGTGGGCGGGGCTGAAGGCCCAGCATGCCCGGAGGGGTGCCATTGCGTGAGCCTGCTGAGCACCTGCCGGGTCACGAGTATAGCGTACTGTTGGAGCCCCGGGCAGTCAGGAGGTGCCGCGGCTGCTAACCTCCATGGGAGGAGTGTGGAGTGAGGCCTGGGCCTTTCTCGAGAGTCTTTACAGGTGAAACGTGCAGACCTCCCAGACGGTGAAGTGGGGTCTGAGAGAGACCATGTCTGCACGTGCCCACGTCGCACACGCCCCGTTTGTGTCTTGTTCGTGCACATTTCTCACAGCTCTGAGTCTCCCCATCTCTGCCTGGGTCAGCTACAGGCGGCCACATGGCTGGGTCATCTGGTCCCATAAAGGGTGGACTTCCTCTGGAGAAGGTGTTGCTCACCATCACACTCAGCCTTGCCTGGGCTGCTGTCCTCTGCTTGGATGGTTACGAGACCAGGCCTCAGCTGTCCCTCCCCCTTGCCCAGGTTACCCCTGGAGGTCAGCCCTCAGTCTGGCCCACAGCAGACCACTCAGACACGCTTCTCACTCGCACAACATGGCCATTTGATAGACTTTCACTATGGCTCCCCAAAAGGCCCCCACAGAACAAATTCCCCCAGCCCTCCCTGCACCCCCACCTTCTTTCTCAAATGGCCTGTCACAGTGGATACCAGGTCGCGTCCACATTGAGAACTGCTGTGACAGCAGTGTCCCTTGTTGAATTGGGGGGTTAGTGCAGATGTGGGGCCTTCTGTGCAGGGCTCCATGGGAGCAGAGGTGCTCCCCAAGTATGGCCAGCGTGTCTGCCTCGCCCCTCTCCACTGAGTGCTTTGCGGGGTTGGGGGCAGTGAGTGCGCATGCGGGTTGAGCCGTGTCAGTCCTCAGGGAGCAGGACGATTGGGCTGAGCACACAGCCCTGGCCTGTGACTTGGGCCAGGCCTCACCTCTCCTAGCTTTTAGAAAGCCTTGCCTGTGAGCAGGTGAGCCGCGCCTGGCCGTTTCTCTAGGAATGTCTGTTCAGGCCTACTCCCCCCATTGTTTCTCACCCTTCTCAGAATGCCCTGCATCTGCGTGCAAGAGTGGTTTCAACTTCTGAGCACACGCAGATGCGGGAAGGACATCTTTCCTGGGCGACTGGCTACAGGGAACGGACAGGCTTGGCTTTAACCAGAGCACTTAGCAGGGCTGCTTGGGGAGGTGTCCCGTTGAGTCCTCCCCTTTGGATAGCGCCACTACCTCCTGGGCTTCAGCGACAATCTCCACCCTAACCTGTGGGACTGCAGAGTGAGGAGTTCAGAGCTGTGCCCGCAGCTGCCAGCTGAAACAGCGCCCTCCCAAACTCGTGACAGCCTGGCCTTTCTTGCAGGCCACTGCTCTCCTGGCTTTGTTCCTTGCTTTTCAAGGCCCGAGCATCTTCTCTTCCTACCCTGCACTGACATCAACCTGAGTTTTACCCACCCCTTCCTTATAGAGCCACCACGTGCTGCAGGTGCCTTATGTTCTAAGATGGGGACATGGTGCCAGTCTCTGTGCAGAGATGACCGTGCCTGGAAACCCCAAGCCAGGAACACGATGCCCTGTGGTTTACGACGTCCTGCCGAGAACACGCAGGGCCAAGTGCAGATGTTGAGAGCACGGCCTGTGTGATCTCAGCACAGAAAGGAGGCTGGGTCACAGCTCCCTGCATTTTGCCTGCCCTGGAGCTGCAGAAGCAGGTGTAGAAGTTTGCTTCCCACCCTCTCCTATGGCTCCAGCCAGGCCACGGGTGGTCCTCGGTGAGGCATGAGGCCTCTCCTCCCTGGGCCCAGCCCCCACAGTGCAGCCACCATTGCACCCAGGGCTTGCTGGGTGCCTATCCACATGCTTGCTTGGAGAAGGGTGGCTCATGTCCCCTTACTGAAGCAGGTAGGAGCTTCCCCTGTCCAGCCCTCCCGGGCTGCTGTGAGCCACACCTAAAGGGATTGTGGAGACAACCCCATGACACAGACCCCAGAGCACTGGTGGCTCTGTACTTATCTTTGGGGGGGGGGAATCAAGTGTAGGCTCACCACCCGGAAGACCACTGTGAACATTTGGGTCTGCATCCTGTTTCCTGCCCACTCCCACATTTGTTTGCATTTTTTTTTTTCTATTTTTTGAGAGAGTTTTGCTATAAGGGTGTGTGCACTCCCCAGAGAAAGACAGGGAGACAGAATGCAAGAAATCTCCCCCTGGGGGGATGGCCAAGCTGCGATCTCTTTCCTAGTCTCTTCTCGGGAGTTCGGGCACACATGCCCAGTGTAAGTTTGAAGCTGCCGGGTCTGGGACTCAACCACCGTCGCCTGTGTGGAGTTCAGCGACGTAACCACCACGCCATCTGCTGGCCCCTTGTTGGCATTTTTTAATGGAGACACACCTTTGCATCCAGCTTATCTCACTCGCTATTTTATCTTAAGCATTTCCCATGTCATGAGCAAGTCTTTAAAAACATCATTTTTAATGAATGTAGAGTTTAATGGTTGTAAATTTTATCCTAATTTATCTGGCCATTTCTCTATTATAAAACATTTAGATGGTTTCTCACTATTTAAATAATGCTGTGATGAATATAAATTTTTGATTTTTGATTGATTTCTGCTCCCTTCCCCCTCAGCTGCCTAGAAATGATATTTTTGGGTCAAAGAGTTGGTTTATTGTAAAGTGGTATTACTTTTCCTTCTCTCTCTCTCTCTCTCTCTTTTTGGAGAGAGATTTTTGCTATAGGGCATGTGCACTCACCAGAGAGACCAAGAGAGACAGGAAGTGAGAAATCAGCCCCCAGGGAGGATGGTCACGCCGAAATTCCCTTTCCTTTATTCTCTCGGGATCTTGGGCATGCACGCACATGTGCCCAGCATGAAGTTTAAGCCACTGGGTCCAGGACTCGAACCGTAGTCAACTGTGGGAGTACAGAGACACAACCATTTCACCATCTTCTGGTTCCTCCCTTCCTCTCTTGGTCAGATGCATGGAAGAGGCTGAATTCCAGTGAACAGAGCCTCCTTGGCCATGTACTACAGATTCTGAACAAAAGTTTCTCATCAGTTGTGTGTTTGAAAGAATATTTAAATAAGAACACCCTTGATTAGAATGGTAAAATGTCATTACTGACAGATTTTTCCAAGAGCCAGTTATCTGTAGCGAGAACCTGGTTGTGCTTGCATGTGAGTTCTCTTCCATCCCGCCTGCTATGGCTTTCAAGTGCTCAGCGACATTTTCAGAATCTTGTACTTTGTGTCCACAATGGTACTGAATTTGCATCTGCACAGTCAGCAGAGAAGTGTTGAACTGACCTTGCCACATGCTTAGGGGGTGATTCGTAATTAAGTTTATAGACTCAGAAAGTACATCGGACCATTTTGATTAGTAGCAGAGCAAGTCTACTTGAAAAAGAACCCATATAGGTGATTGGGCTTTACAGATATGCATTCCTATCCCCCTCATCCTCAGTCAGAATGCCTTGCTGTCAGGAGGGCACAGCAGGCAGGCTTTCACCACAGTAGACCGTAGCTGCCTGGCTGGTGTTAACTGCAGGCCGTGTCTTCCCCACAGCCTGCCCATTGGATTGCAGGTTGCCTAGTCTTCTAGTCCAGACCACCCAAATCTGATTGCACTAGTAACTTCTCTACTTTAGGTGGGGTCTCGGGACCGAGGGGGAAACGTGCATGAACAGTTTTCCTGGGCACCATACTCAGTGCCACTTTCCTGTACCAGAGATGAGGGCTGGGCCATCAGAATTGGATCTCCTGCCTTCTGAAGCTCCCAGTCCCTTCGCCTGGCTGCTCCTTAGACCCAGGTACTCGCTGCTCAGACTTCGAGGTGGCAGCTGTTGAATGCAGTGGGGTGCTAGATCCCTGCACGTTTCCACCTTGTTTCTTTTAAAACGACATGAACCGATGGTGGTGACTCAAGTGGGTGTGGCTTTTAGCTGCCTGACAAATGCTGCTGAATCAGAGCTGGAGTCACTCCCAGAGCTTCCGAAGGGTGGTACCCTACCCCAAGATCACAGGGTTTTAAGTCAGGCTGCCTGTGGAGAGCCGGTCTGGGAGCAGTTTTATTGGAGGTAGCCAGGTGGGCAACTGGAGGGGCAGACATGCATACCTGGATTTTCCCATAATCCATTTCTTCAATATGAAGAAACAATCAAACTATGTACAGAGAACTTCTGTACAAAAGGCAAATCTTTTTCTTAGCGGTGCAACCCACCCTAAACCAACAGTCTGGCTGAGTGAACAGGGGTCATTTTGCTGATGAAAGCATCTAATTACAAGTTTGAACGCTGGCAAAATTCAGTTGTTACAGTATTTAGAGCTGCTGTAGCTGTTCCTTAGCAACATAAAGTAGGGCGAGTCAGTAGTCTGTGAGCTGTCTTTCAGGTTGGTGGCAGTCAGAACATGTAACCCTCTACCTGGTCTGTAGTTGTAACTGTGATGTACAGGCAAAGCAAAAATTAAACACAAAACTTAGAAAGCAATGCAATGATGTTAGGATATACACTTTTGTATTTTTATTCTTATATAAGATTATTTGCTGACTATTGTTGGCCTCTAGTTCAGTCTGTGTTATTTAAATTCTAATATATGAATTATTTGGATTGAGTTCATGTTCGGGGCCACGTTGTTGTATGTATTGATGTACAGCCTTGAATGTGAATAATTATTGTAAACTATATTTTACAACCTTTTTTCTGGCTTTATTATATAAATTTTCTATTGGTCAATGATTTAATCATATCATAATTTAATGAATCTGTTTATTCTTTTTTTTTTTCAAATGTTTGTGCTTTAGATGTAGTTACCGGATGATGAATTTTCCTCGTATGCTCAATAGTCTTGTAATAAAAAGCATGTAGAGTGTAGACGTTCGCTGGCGTGCTTTTCCTTCTACCAGGACTTGGGTCATGGGGACCGAGGCCGGGCTCCGCTCTGCGCGCCTGCGCACGTGCCAGGACCACGCGGCGACCCGCTCCGGCCGGAAGGGAGCACGGCCGGCCGCTTTTCCGGACCGGAACTTCCGTCTGCCGCGTAACGCCGGAGCAGGCGCTTTACGAAGGCGGACCTGAGGGCGGGCCAGCTCGGAGGACAGTATTAAAGGCCGGACGCTTCCGGCGGAGGCGCGCGGCGGCGGGGCTTGCTGGGATCATGGCGGAGAATCACTGCGAGCTGCTGCCGCCGGCCCCGGGCGGCCTCGGGGCGGGGCTGGGGGGCGGCCTATGCCGTCGCTGCAGCGCGGGCCTCGGTGCCCTGGCCCAGCGCCCCGGCAGCGTGTCCAAGTGGGTTCGGCTCAACGTCGGCGGTACCTACTTCCTCACCACCCGGCAGACGCTGTGCCGGGACCCGAAATCCTTCCTGTACCGTCTGTGCCAGGCCGATCCCGACCTGGACTCGGACAAGGTGAGGGCCGCGAGTCCAGCCGCGAGGGTCCGGGCGCCCGGGGCGCGGCCCGCCTCCCAGCTCCAGCTCCAGCTCCGCGCGGAGGGCCCTCGGCGGGGGG